TTTTGGCAGTTGAGTATATACATTATGCAAATTTTGTATGGAGTCCCAATGAACCATGAAAGTAAGATTTTATTTTTTTTCAGTGTGTTTGCCAGGCTAACATGGTTAACATGAATGCTCCGCTTCTGAGGTGATGTACTTTGGTGTTTGAGCTGTCTCAGTTTTATACAGTTATATTTGTAATGAACTGTAATCTTGTGTTACAAGAATGTTTGTATGTAATGTGATTATTCAATAAGATGAGAGGATCAAAGCAAAAAATGCTCTTAATAATTCCATGACCTTTTGTACTTTGGATATGTGCCAGTTCTTCCCATATGATTATACTTTGCCAAGTGACACCTTATACCATACATTGTGATATCATTCAGCTTTTAAATGTCGTATTCATTTTGTATGCTTTAATTATAAAAGTGAGTACTGTATGTTCACATGTTTAATGCAGTCCTGAATATAATGCGTGGTAAGTATGAAATACTTAAATAGAAGAAAAGTGTTTTTAAAACATCATTTATCCTAAATGTATTTAATACTTTATAGTAATCAACAACTCTTGGATAGGAGGCTGGGTGGGCCCCGCGGCTTGTCTCAATGCTGTGTGAAAGGTAGAAGTCTCTGTCCCGCCCATATATAAACATAGCCTTATCTAAAAGTAAGAGCATTGAACTCATATTTGTCTTCTTGGCGTGAAGGTAAATTTCTGCATTAGCTGTGTTCGCATGCAGAGTAAAAATGAGATTACATAGGGAATACCGTAGGAGTGGTTGAATGTTTGGGTGTAGAACCAATTGCTAAAGAATTTACAATTTATACTTCAAACATTGATCAGATAATTGGTTCAAGGAACTAAGTTACTTGGGTAGTTCTCATTTGTCACACACACACACACATTTTTATCAGAACATGAATTTAAATCCAATCCCGTAAATTGATCATCGAGGGCAAAATCCAAGGAAAAAGATCCATCGGTAGACCCCAAAACTCCTGCATGAAAGACCTAAGAAGATGGTTCGGATGCAACTCAATAGACATCTTTCGAGCGGCAGTCTCGAGGAGAATGTTCACCATGTGGATTGCCAAACTTTGTTCGGGGGTGGCGCAATAAGAAGAAGAAATTGAAAGATAACAATGGAATTCCTTTTTGTGCAAGTTTTTCCAAGTCCCATTTCCTTCAGAAATGAGTCCTATGAAACAAAGTTGAGATGTTGAATGATTTTAGCTGGCTCAAATGGTAACCTTTCATTTTAAGGTATGTTCTTCTAAATTACAAAAAGTGTCAATTGTTCTGTATGTGGATGGTTTGCTTTTTAAAGGGTCTCTGAAAAGTTTGATTTACTGTGCCAACACATATCCAGGAAAATGTTTCTCCTCAAAGGTTTTAAGTACTTATGTAACCACAATAACTGAAGTGGAAAAGTCTGTGGGGAGTCCTCACTGATGTAAGTCTGATTCAACATTACATCTAATAGCACTGCTTTAATTCCCCACAAAGTGGGAAAATGAAGAAAGGGAACATGTTGATGTCTATGACAGATAATAATAATTATAGCTTTTGGGTTAGCAGTATATTAAAGATTAGAGTTGTGTAATCATGTAAGTTGTGGACAGAAGAACTTGAATTCCCCGCTTTGATGTGCATTCCACAGTTCGTAGCGGAAATGTCCACCAGAGTGACTATAGTCGGATGTGATTTAGAACAGGAAGCGAAGTGGTTGTGTGTGGTGCCAAGAAATTATTGTGGTGTGTGAAATGTAGCTGAAGAATTCGATGTACGCAAAAAGTACAGAAGTTAAAATGAATTTTGTGTATATATCTTATACTCTTCAGATTGTTGTGCATTTTCGTGTGACTTAAAACCCGTAAAGAATACATTTGACAAGCTGAGAATTTCACATGGAAGAAGGTCGCGTGCTACTTTTTGGTATTGACCTAATTATTGTATCTCTCAATGCCTTCGTTGTTTAGACTCGCAGGCATTTCATGGCGGGCCATATGTAATTTTTAAAGTACTTGTTTAATGCAATGAAATGAAACTGTAAAGCTAAGTCATCTGTCGACATTGTCAAGGTCCTGATCATGTCAAATAAGAAACAGCAATCTTACAATAACAAAGCCACAGAACCTGGCGTCGCCCCTCCTCGGTACCAGCCTCCCCCACAAGTATCAGGTGTCTCTGGCATCCTGAAGCACTACCCTGCCCATTCACAGTCGCAGCATCCAACATTTATTTCAGCACCAGTTATAAAAGATGGTAAAAATTATCCTACTCAAGTTTCACATTTGGATGGAGTAAAACCATTTCAGCCAGAGCTTGGGAAGTACTATCCTCCTCCACCACCACCACCAGTGGCAAACGGGGATTCGAGTAAACCCATATATCCAGGACCTCCACAGTACCCTGCACCACCTTCGGTAATTCAGCCTCCTGTGCAACGGCGTCCAAATCCCACTGTTGGCCTTCCACAGAGACTTGGTGACGAGGAGTTGTTGAGGTTAGGTTCTGTCGAAATGCTGAAGTTTGTACGTAAGGCCGAGAGCGACACAGCAAGAGTTGCGTCTGAACAGGGTCAGGCCGCAAGGGAGGCAGCACGACGAATGCAAGGTTATGTAAGTGAGATCAGGATGTTAAAGGAAGCAAATCAGAGACTTGGTGATGATAATCAGGAACTGAGAGACCTCTGCTGCTTCCTGGATGATGACAGGCAAAAAGGACGTAAACTGGCACGAGAATGGCAGCGATTTGGACGGTACACTGCAAGTGTGATGAGACAGGAAGTGTCTGCATATCAGAGCAAACTGCGAGAACTGGACAACAAGCAGCAGGAACTCATAAAGGACAATCTTGAACTAAAGGTATTATATTTAGTGCTGTTCAAACTGATAGTTAATTTTATAATATAATCCACATTTTTTAGAAGGTTATAAATGTAGGTTTTAAGGTCAAACAGTGTCACTTTAAATCTGATAAATATAGGTTAAAGAAACCCACTGCATTGGTCTTCTGTTAAGTAGTGCTAGTTTGATATAATGGAGGAAATGTTTATTATGGTTTACATCATGCATTTCCATGTACAGAGTGGATGAAATGAACTTGCAATGGGGAGGTTATGTTTAGCTGTCCATTTATCTCTTGAACTACACAATGGATATTCATTCAGTTTTGTACCTGGAAACTATGCAGATTGTGAGAAAAATTTAATTTAATTTGCAACTTATGTACTAAACAGGAAGAAGATGAGTTATTCATATAAACTTTTAATTGGGTAACTTTAAAGGAATAGGCTGCATGAACCACTTGGGCATATATATCATGTACAAACAAACTTGCATTATAAAATTTGCCAATTTATATAGTGTTAAAATTAGAAGAGGCGTAATCATTCACATTGAACACAGTGGGTTTAGAGGGTTAAACAAACTTTGAACTGCATAATAAACATGTTATCTGACCTTAAATATGAACTCATGTAGTCATAGGGAACCATTTTGATTATGAGTTGTCCACCCTTTGAATTTGAAAGATGTAAAGTTCTTGTGTGTTGTCAGGAGCTTTGCTTATATTTGGATGAAGAGCGAAACCAGAGTACTGTGTGTCCATCATGTGGTAGTGGCTTGCGACCTGGTCCAAGGGATGATGGTGATGGCAGTAGTTCCAGTACCAATGCAGATGAACCTCCATTACCAGCACAATTCACTGCGGCTAATCCTCGTCGCACGGAGAGCAGAGAACGACTTCTGGAGGAGAGCATTCAGCGACAGCGCACAGTTTTTAATGGTACTGTCGTAATGCTATGTTTTAACTTCTGTTATTAAATTAGCCAGTGAATATAGTTACTGGGTTACAGGCATGAATACCAGGGTTAAGTCGTGTGATAGGACAATATTTAATTGGTCTTTGCCACAATATCCAGACAGGCTCTAGGGCCTACCTGGCCAGTGGGTGCCATGGTTCTTCTTGTGGGGCAGGGCATGGAGTTACTCACCTACACTTAATTCTAAGGTTAAGATCGTGTGGAACTGTACCTCCACTCTCCCAGCGTTCAACATTCTTCAGTTTGTATGGAAATTTTACAAGTACGTGTTGTTGTAGGATCAGTTGTCGTCTTTAAAATCAATGCGATGAAACATAGTTTTTTGGAGAGCTCACTTTATTGTATTACTGTTTTTCAGATCAAGTGATGCATTATGTGCGCAGTTTGGAACAGAGGGTGAAACAGCTGGAAGAGGAAAAGTTGGCCTTGCAGCAGAAATTGGGTCAAGTGCCAGGGGCAAATAGTTCAAGTGATCTTCGTTCTAATGGGAATTGGGAAAGTGATGTAAGAGACCAGATGATGTATTATCTGATTGCATTATTTTTAGGAATGTCATTTTTTATTGATAATATCGGAATGTTACATCAACCTGAGTATGTATAATTATTTTGGGCTCTCAGTATGTACATTGTCAGTGTAATTTTATTAATCTGTTGTACTTATGTTTGTGTGTTGCTCTCTCCCTGTCTACTTTCCAATAACTTTTAAACTATTTGTGCAATTTTCATTGAATTTTAAAAATGTGTGCCATTAGAGACACTGAAGAAAATCACAACGATGTTATCTGTTGAAAAATAATTTCAGAATTTTAACTACAGAACTATTTGCAAGAGTCAGATGTTTTGTTACGAGTCTTGAATAACCGTCTCATTTATGTGAATTCTTTTCTCGCCGTAATATTTAATGGTAACTTGCATTGTTTGTGGTAGAAAATTATAATATTTTCAACACATCTATTTCATCTGCTGATGGGGACAGAAGATTTCTGAAAAAAATAATTCTCTGTTTTATGTAGATGGTTGATTAGTTTTGTTGTTTACGGTAAAAACATTTTTGTTCAATTATTTCACCTTTATTTTAACACAGAGTTGCGGTAGTTACCGTCCTGAAGCTGTTGTACAAGCGTTGCAGGTGCTTGAAGTTCGTGAACAGCTAGAAAGAGGCTCGGGAACTCATGAGAATTGTTCTGGTGGCATGGAGACACTGGGGGCAGCAGGCCCTGGCCTTGATATGGCAGCTGTGGATCTGGATGATGGAGAGAAGGCTCTTGTACGGGAGATGTGTAACGTAAGACCGGAATTATGATAAATCTTTGCAGATTTTCATTTTAGAACATTCTGTGTATCACATCAGTTAAAAAAGTAAAAACATTTCCATATTTTGGGTAATATATTCAGTCATGATATTTTAGGTTCTCAACAGGAATGAAGATGTTGAAATTGGTCTTCTGGGTTGTAGCAGTGAGTGGACTTGTTGGTACATAAAATGACATGTTTTAGAATTGCTATTGCATATGGTTTTGTAGTCGGTGCTGCAATCAGTAGATGAGTTTCACGCTGTAAAAATATGTATTTTAAAATAAAATCTTGCTTAAATATTAATATTATGAACTGTGAAGAAATATGGCTGTAAAAGCTTTCCTCTTGTCGTTTTGTGCGTAATCTGAATTTGTTAAAATTTAGACTTTTGTGTCACTCTTGATCAGCAGTAAATCGCTTAACACTTATTTTGTATTTTTCAGGTTGTCTGGAGAAAGTTAGAGGAGGGTCCAGGTCAAAGACGATGAAAGGTTTGATACTTCTGAGTTGCTGCAGAGTTTATAATGGGAACCCGACAAACTCCAGAGATAAATTATTTGCTGATTAACACTGCTTGTTCTTATGGCAAAGCTAACTGTTGCAGATTTAATCACATTTTGCAGAAGAAAGCAGGAACTTTGAGAAATAATACAGATATTCCATTACATGCATTATGACTTTAAAACTAAAATAGCCTTTGATTGCATAACACCTTATGTTTAACGTACTTGGGTGTACACCTTCATTCACGCAATGTATACATACTTGTTACCGTGCTTAAGCAGCGCCCCCACCAAAGGCACGTAGGAAACACGGAGGTAATCTATGTCTAACGTCTTTCAAACCATTTCTTTTCTGTCCTGATATGTCAAGTTTGTGGAGGTTTGAACTGAGACTTTGTCTTCCGGAAAGTGCCTAACAGCATCTGCATTTTGGTTGATTTGTGCATAATAAGTCTGCTTTGAATTTGTAAGTCCTTGTCTGTGTCTTAGGTCCTATAGCATCTTGTATACTGCATAAGCTCACAAAGTAACTTTATAACTTTTAAAACATGTGAAAATATGAGTATAATTTCACAATAATACAGCCAGACCAATAAAGTCTACATTTTAATGTGGTTACCAGTTGCGATGCTGGAATTCTCACAGTCGGTTTATTTGTATTTTCTTTGTGGTTTCCAAGCAGCACACTTTGGGAGTAACAGTCCTCTGCTGTTTTGACATTGTATTAGGGTATTTCGTTATAAACAGGCTTTACCTACTATTTTAATGCTTTAACGCTTGGAGTTCTGCCATCTTTATTCAGGATAGTACATTCCAGGAAACGTCTTCACATACGATGGAATTTTCCATGTGTAATCAGTATGCTATTGTTAAATGAACTGAAGATGATAGTCATGTGGCTCTATTGCTGTTACTATTGCAGTACAAAACAATTAATTCAGACTAGAGTTGCATTAAATTTGCAGAAATACTGAATTGAAAATGGTTGTAAACAGTGAGACTGTCTTTTGTTATGTGGTTCTGCTTCCTGTTCTGGCCTCTTCCCTCCTCCATTTAGATTGTGACTAAGGAGCCAGCAGTCCTAATTGAGGATTTTTATTAATCCCTTGAGGAAGTTAGCAGAGTAGTATGGTAAATAGCTGACATTTTTTTTCCCAGCCTCTCTATACATTCATCACTACATAACTGTTGTTATTCATACCATGATATCAGACATTGGAGTTGAGTGGTTAGTACTTTTGCTTTCTGTTTGATAAGACTGGGGTTCAAGTCTTGGCCTGAATGAGGTTTTTATTATGGTTTTTCTCACTCCCAACAGGCAAATACTGGAGTCAATCTTGCAATAAACCACGTTCATTTTCATATCCTTTCTAATTCACTAATCTATTTTATCATTTAATTTTATGTGATCTGAGCAATTGGAAGCATTGTTAAATAAACCAAAAATGAGTGGATACCACGATGATAACCAAGGAGTAATATATGACTGTGTCTGGTATCAGTAATTTAATCTTCTGTTGAAGGATTGCATTTTATTCTTAATGAAGATGTTCATGTAGAATTATTTTATAATGCAGTATTAAGGATTTAATTTACATAGTATTCTTCAGGAGAAAATCTTGAAATGTAAAATTGTTTAATGCAAATTAAATCGGTTGACGGGGCGAAAGTACCTTTCTTTTTTTGGTACTTACAGAAACTTAATTCGTCAGTAATAAAGGTTCTTTTTAATTTTCATTCATTTTAACTCTGATGTTAAAGTGGGATATTGTTACTCAGAGAATGATGAATCATAAATGAATTGTTAATATATTTTAATTTGTAACATTATTAAGATTGTAGTTGTTTGTAAGTATACATATAAATTTCCTTTATAAAACATTATTTCTGAAGTATAATGGTTTGTATTTGATCTTAAAAGGCATGGCAGATTTTGTACATAAGTAAATGTATATGAAATAGATGACATACTATATAAAACTTCAAAGGAGTAAATTAATCTTATAATTGTTATATATGTATATTTTAATATGTTATTGAGCACACAGTTTTGATGGTGATATTTTAATTGCATATCAGTATATCACTTCTTGATGTTTTTCTGTTTAAAGTGGAAAACGGGACTTGTAAATGCTATCTTTATGTATTAGATACACTCTGTACATAATTATGTCAATATTATTGTAATGTAATGTGAACCACTATTATTTAATTCTTTGAAGCATATCACTATTCTAACCTTACTTAAAGTATTCTGATAAAATATTCCACACCCATCAATATATCAGATTATTATTGATACATACTAGTTTTTAATAAGTTGTCTATTCAAATTAATTTCCATGTTTGGATGAGCCTTCATCCAGTCTGTATTGTTTGTGAGTTACCTTTAGTCTGTTTTGTTTATTTCATTGACATGTTTGGACTCTATACACGTCCACTACCTTTTAGACCCTGTACTGTAGAAACATTTACCATAATATTATTTACCTACAGTTTTAAAATTTTCAGAAAAAATATGGGAATCACATGGTGTTGAACTGAGATTTTTTCAAAGGAACTTTGGTTCCTAAATTAAAATACAGAGAGTGATTCCACTTTCTTCTTTTGGCTTCTTCCTCTTCTGGTGTTAAAATTTGTCTCATGAATTGCATATTTTGGCCTCAGGATTGCAACAGAGTATATGTTATTTTTATATATATATAAATAATGTAAGTATTTAAGGGACCATAGCAGTCATCCATTTTGCAGTTTATGAGGTACCTGTAAATGCTGTCTAGTGTGTTCAGTATTTGACAGATCTGAAAACGAGCCTTTGGGGATATTGGACAGTCTAGTCTCAAACGTTGTCTGACATTTCAGAGGTGTGTATTGCCTCCATGATCGGTACACCCCACTGAATTGTTGGTCAGCTTCGAGACTACAAAGTGCAATATGCCAGAAGGCTGTTATCGTCATATTCACCGCTGTGAAAACCTGAAATCTCATGTGGCAAGTCTGTTGGATTTATTAAATATTTCCAACATATTTATGATATACTGTGGCTTCCAATGTCAGAGTTTTACTGATTTATACCTATGTTTAAGTGCTGTGTGGATTAAAACTATTTTAATAATGCTAGAATCTGAGGGTCATATGAGCTGCCATTTATATTCTTTATGAAACTCTGTTTGGTACAGTACATTATCTCATAAATGTACACAGTTGAATTGTGATGTGGTTTTGTAGAATGATGAAATTTACTTAAAGAAACTAAATGAGTCCATAGAAATCTGTCAAGACAGCTGACAGGTTAGAGTTCAAATTCAAGGACCTTAAAAACATAAATAGCAGACATGGCTGCTGCAAAATTAGCTTGTTAAATGCTTGTAATTTATCTGTTACTGAAAGTCTCATCATGTTGCTTGTGCTGTTAACTGTTTAACTTTATCGACCATACGTTGCGATCCAGCTGACTGTCACATTAGCATAACAACTAAACCATTAACCTCAGAGATAATGTTCAGCCAGGAGCCCCCTATTCCCGTGTAATAAAGGTTAAACTATTCATCATATCATTGGCTGATAACAATGGCTTGTCATGCTGCACAGTACAAGATTTTATTGAGGAAGATCAAGAAGTCTATTTGTCTTTATATGTAATCAACACAAATACGTCTGATTGACGGTTATGATATTGTATAATGCTATGTTTTGGTTATTAATGTTTGTTTTTAAAATAACTTTTCTTTGTTCCTTATTTCATGTAACTAACAAATGACTTTCTTTATCAAGTTTTTTATATTGATCTTGATGATTAGTGTTGTTCTATTTGAGAGGGATGTTTATACAAGTAATAATTTCTAAAGAATGTTACACTGCAGTATTTATGTTATATGTCCTATTGAAGTAGGTGTTGGTATTAGTGGAAGAGTAGTAAGCAGAATTCCCACCACTGTTTTTATGAATAATATATTGAATACAGGATTGTAATTATATGCATTTTTGTTATTTTTACATTTGTAACTGTGAATATTGTAAAGTACTCATTTAAGTTATTTTTGTAATCTCCAAAAGCATATTTATAAATAATAATTAACATGTATCTCTGTTAGTTATGTATTTTCTTTTGTTCAAAACTTGTAATATCTGAGCATATTTTGTTTCTTTAACTGAGAAAAGATTATGCAAGAGACTAGGCATAGTTGAAAGGAATATATTATAATAGATCTTGAGGAAACTTAATGAGAAAGTATAGACTTGTTTCAGTGCTCAAGATTAGTGAGCAGTGGTGGCCTCTTGTGGAAGGTCTAATGATCTTCAACTTCTGTGAAAGGTGGGTAATTTCTTGATTAACTGATTGACTTATCAGCTTCTCAAGTTGGGCTGTGCTACACATGTTTAGTTCAGTGTTGAAATCACAGTAGTTAAGTTATACATATGATCATTATGGAGTCCCTGCAGTTCACTTTGAATCTCTGCGTAGTGCATAATCTGCAAAAATGACTTGTCATGAGAAACTGTAACAATTTTATTAATCCTTTGAAGCATGAAATTTATCTAAACAGTCCGTAACAATATAGTTTCTACCTCAAAGAGAAGACAAAGTGTTGTCACGAAAAAAGATCATGGCCAATAACAAGCCATGCAAATGGATTAATATAATATGCAGCTTCTCGAGGTGTCTGGGCCATGTGCTTATTTTGAATTTGAATCAGCCGCTTTTGGGTACAATTTATTCACGTTACGAGAGTGATACTGTTTTGTTTTAACGTTTACGGTACATTTAACGTCCACCCTCACTGTTCAGTTTCGGGTATTCCACTGTAGAAAAAGGTACACCAATCATACAAACATCACAATTACTTGATTACCAAAGAAATCTATAACTCGTTTTAATTCAGTTGCCATGGTTATAGCTAAGGTTTTATTGTCGTCGTAGTGGAAGGTAGCCATATTATGGCAATACTAACGAAATAAACATGGCATCAGCAACGGGTAAGAGAGTTATAAGGTGTAAAATAAAATACTGATTATAAGTTGTTATTTGTTACAAGATCTGTGAACGTGTTATAGTCATTGTTTGTAATTGTGTTGCGATAATCAGTACTATTTTTGGGCTATGGTCAATACTGGCTCATAATGAAATTAGCCATTTCAGACGTAAATAAGGAGTAATTTTTTTATTTAATTTTGTTATGTATTAAAATATTTAGATCAACCAGCAACAGAAGAGATTATAGAACCCCAGCCCTCTGGAAGTAATGGCATGTCTGATGTATCCCATGTATGTACGGTTTTGGAATTGTCTGTATAAGATTTTAAGTACATGTAGGGAATCACGTTTTAGAAGCCTTGTGTATTTTATTTCAACTTACAGAAAGTAATTTCATGTGAGAAGGATCCTGCAATGGGAGATATTACAGCAAAGAAATCAAGGGTTGATTTACAGTCATTACCAACTAGACAATATTTGGATCAGACAGTTGTCCCTATTCTACTACAAGCTCTGTCAACTTTAGCAAAAGAAAGGTAATGTATTCAAGTGTGCAGTGTTTACTAAATTTTAAACTACACCATATTTCAGGAGTAGAACGGAAGATATAGAAAAGTGTTACTTATTAGGTTATGTTTGTTTAAAATCAAGAATGTGTGTTACATGATTCTGTAATATTAAACAGGTCTGATTTCATAATTAGGTATTTCTGGACAAAGACTTTTCACCACAGTCTGGCATTCATATGTCTCTCCATTAGAAATATTTCTTATATCAGAAACATCTGGTATTTTCTGTTGTTTCCACTACCATTTAATTTTAAGATCAAAATTTAATTGAATTCAGAATATTGTTTTTTTTCAGGCCACCAGATCCCATCAACTTTCTAGCTGGATATTTACTCAAAAATAAAACACAGTATGAACAGGGAACAGGCGTGTCTCCAGCTCCAAGCCAGTGAAATTTGCAAAGAAACTCATCTTCCATTCTCAGACATTGTTGAATTGTATGCTTTGATGTTATTTGAAGGTGTATGAATCTTCATGTGTTCAGTTAATTAACTCAGATTATTTATAAATCTTTTCTCTTTTTCTATTCAGACTCATGAGAATAAACAGTGACATGGAGCTCATTATTTATAGTGTGATATAATGAATATTAATAGAACGTTCTTTATTTGGTATCTGAAGAGTGCGAATTCAATTATTAGATTATTTCATTAGTCAGTAATTTGTTATTAGACAACGTGCCATGTTTGAGGCATCATTTAATCTTCAACAGTTGCCTTCATATCTGTGTTCAACAAATTCAGTCTCTGAAGCCAGTAATTAAGTGCCCACTGAGCCAGTACCAGTACCAGTGAATAAATGTAATTTATCCCTGCAGCCTGAGATTTGCAGTTTTATAAAAGCGATTATCTGTCCGTTGCATTCCGTATGATGTTCATTTATTAATTCAAGCCTGTACATAAGTTGTCCCAACTTCTTTACATTGTTGTGTCTGTGGTTATGAATCACACTCTAAAATCTTCTGCATCACTCAGAACATCGTCAGCCTTACTGTTACTCAGAATTTTCTTTACTGTAACATCATCATCATCATCATCTCTGTCTAATTCACTGCCTGGGCCATAAACTGCAATGTTTACATTAACAGGATGTACTCTAAGTCTTAAAACTTTTCGAGTGCATTGATTTTATGAGATTTTTTCCTCGAGTGATCAGTATTCATGGCTGACTGCCTGAGAACATTTTATAAAATGTTGATTCCTTCCCATCTTATCCCATGGGAAGTTCATGGTTAACCATTTTTGTTACTACTGTGTTTCCAGTTTAATTGTGGTAAAACTAAGAAAAGCCTTGGGTGTAATTTTGCTTGACATTTAACAGCTGAAACCAAGGGGACTTCGGTGTTTGAAGATCTTGTGCTCCAAGTAATAGGGAAATGATCCGAGAGATGGCAGAGCAACAAAAGTTTTTCTCGGAGATTGCTGACAGGGAATGCGGACATGGGTTGAGACCACTGGGATAGATTTTGAGGTGTGTGTTCATAATTTGGCTGCCAGCTTGAAGGGTTAATTAAACTGTGTAACATAAAAATGTTAATATTTTTGGCACTGCTGGTATCAACATATTATGAGCATTTTATAGAATTCCACAAAAGCGTCAATGCAACGAATGTCTGTCTCGATCCGACGTTTTTATGTGGAAGCGGTAAGAGGCACAGTAATGTCATATAAACTATAGGTCTTGTTTGTTTTTTATGCCTTTTCTGTATTTGTGTTTAATTATGGTCTTATTATGATGGTAATTATTGAATTACAAAAAAAAAATGTTATTAAAATTAATAGGGAATGGTTTCTTTCATATATTCATTCCTCTTCTCTTTCCTTTATCCATTCTTTGTATCTATCACCTTCCTTTCAGAAGATGCCACGTCTAAGTTCTCAGATGTTTTGCATCCAGAAGGTAGGTGTTTATAAAGTGCTTTTACAAAGCTTCCAAATTTTTTATAGTATCAGTGTTAACCAGGTTCTGTCATTTACTGAGTTTTACTTTTGGGATGTGTGTTTTTTTGTGCAACAAAAGAGATCTCATCTGGGATTACTTGCATTAATTTTTATTATTGTATTCTTATATTGTCAGTGGAAACTGCTGGTATTATTTCTTGTTATTCAGGCCATTTCTTCCGTGATTTAAAGATACTAAAATAAAAGGATTAGATGGGCATACCATGTAGCATACATGGAAGGGATGAAAAATGCATCAGAAACGTCGAAGTGAAAGAGACCTAGGCATTAATGTGAGGTTAGTGTTTCAACAGATCTTTAAAGAAACAGGATTTGAGGATGCAGACTGGATTCATCTGGCTCAGGATAAGTACCAGTGGTGGCCTCTTGTAAGAATGGTAATGAAATGTCTGGTTTTATAAAAGATGAGGAATCTGTTGACTAGGTGAGCGACTGTTGGCTTCCCAAGAAGGACTCTGCTACAAGGAGTTTGTGAATTATCAGAAGGTATGGAAATATGCAAAGGAAAATATTTTAACTTTAAGGAAAATGGTATGGGAAAGGTTAAGTTGTGTTTTAACTGTGCAGAGGCCACTGGAAAAAATATAGCGATGAGTAAGGCGAATAGCTGTAATGAAAATCATGCACGGTCTAACTTCAACGCAATGAGAAAAGTCCGTAGCAGAATTTACATAATAAGAAAGTTTAAGACTAAAAATGAGACAACATTTACATAACCGTTCTCTGCTTCTTACCAGCCGATGTTACAGGGTTGTCCGGGAATATGGCAAGAAGCTTCAGACTTTATATATCCTTCCTGATATGACAAACAAAAATAAAAGGAGTACAGTGTAATGAAGACTGGAAGTTTAGAGAGTGTGGGAAAGTAGGGCTTTGGTTTTTCTCATCTTTGTAGTGCTGTCATTGCACTTAATGGCAACAATTTTCTAACATATTAAAATTAGCAGTAAACTGCACAGCTTTAGTTCAATTGTAAACTGCTGATCTTCTGGATGGAAATTCTGTGTCAAGTAAGGATAAAAATCAGCTCTGAAGATAGAGGCAGTATGATCCTTCGAAACAATGGTGTCTTTCTACAAGTTCATATGGCGACCAACGTCGACATTTTCACCGGTGTGAGAACCTCAAATCTTATGCAGTTGTAAACTGTTCTTTGTGTAGCGTTGAATGATTAATAAATAACCTGGAAAGATGTAGAAGGAAGCC